ATGATTGGCTGTTCACTGTCACGTGACCTTAATCATCCAATCAGTGTTACTAGTCACATTCATCGTTCAGTATTTCTTTAGCTCAGAATCAGTGACTATTGAAATTTCATATTGAATATAAGATCACGGGTTCGAGTCTAGGAAGTTGTATCTTTTTTTATAATTATAAAAAAAAACATTATCTTTTAGTATTCTATCTGTCTCTTTCAAATATAACATATTTACTTCAGAAAAGGAAGGGCTGGGCTGTTTTTTCCTGAATGAGTGGAACTGAGATGGTAGTTCTATACTTCAGAGTTTTGTTTATAAATTATTTTCATATTATATACCTATATATCTATATATATATATAAAAATTAATGTTTTTATGTTTGTCTGTTGTTCTGTATGCACGGTATACAAATTCGCAGTAAGTATACTAATTCAAACAAAAATTTCCATACATAGGTAAAAATAACGGGGATGACGATAGGCTATTTTAAAAAATATATAAATCAATTATCAAAACTATTTATTCAAATTATTCTACTTAGCTCACAAACAGCGCCCTCTATCACGCACTAAAAGGTTATAAATACGTTTAAAATCTAAATATTCTCAATATTTTATTAATAATAGTTCACTTAATAACACATATAATATAAATATTTATATAATAACTGCTCTAATTTGAAATATTTGGTATGTTTTTTTTATTTATATATTTTCATTTTTAAATATAACTGATCTAATTCGCCGTTTAAAATAACTGCTCTTGAAATATTTGGTATGTTTTATTTATTTATATATTTTCATTTTTAGATATAACTGATCTAATTCGCCGTTTAAAATAACTGCTCTAATTCGAAATATTTGGTATGTTTTATTTGTGTTCACTCTATTTCAATTTATTTGAAGTATTATAATTTCCATGTTTCAAAACCCTATTTCAAAAAGGTCGTTAGAAATATCTAAGGCCTGAAATAGCTTTACATGCGAATATTTATGCTGCCAAGCGTAGCTTAATGGTTAGGTGTGCGGCTTCGTGTTTCCACAAACTTGGTTCGAAACTTAGCCTGGGTGTTTTTTTATATTATTGAAGCAAAGTTTTTTTTACAGTACCAAAATTTCCATACATAGGTAAAAAATTTTTTGAAAAAAGACACCTCGGCCAGTATAAATCTTTTTTATTACCTCGACGTTTCGACAAAAAGCTTTTGTCCTCGTCAGGAGCAAATAAAAATTAAAACATAAAGCAAGGCGTTAAAAATCTGATTTTTAACGCCTTGCTTTATGTTTTAATTTTTATTTGCTCCTGACGAGGACAAAAGCTTTTTGTCGAAACGTCGAGGTAATAAAAAAGATTTATACTGGCCGAGGTGTCTTTTTTCAAGAAATATGAATGACGGCCAGGCAGCCTCTATCTTCACGATATAGGTAAAAAAATACGAGGAAAACGATAGGCTATTTTAAATTATATATAAATTAAATATTAAAACTATATATTCAAATTATTCTACTTGGCTCACGAACAGCGCCCTCTATCAAGGTTATAAATACGTTTAAAATCGAAATCTTCTCAAAATTTTATTAATAATAGTGTGTTCGCTTAATAATTAAAATACTTGATCTAAATCGAAATATTTATAGACGCTCGCTCGATTTGAAGATTTATATCGTAACTAATCTAACTGAAATTTTAACAGTATATAGAGCAGAATCTGGAAAAACTTATAGTGAAATTTTTAGCTCTCTATCCAGAATATTCGTCGAGTTTGCCCTTTTGCTCACGAGCAACGCCTCTAGCGGTGAAGATGGGAGGTAATATCAGCTGACCTAATGTACATGTAAAGTTTGGAGCGGGACGTTTCACAAGAGTGACATCCACGGCGCCAAATTTATAATTGTGTAACGAATAGTGTTTGACTAAAACATTTAATCGGGTAAACCCGGGCGTTGCCCGGGTCATTCGTCTAGTTCTTTATATTATATAGAGTTATTGAGTTTTAACTCCTTATCTGTAATATAACATTTCAGCTGTGTGAAAGGTTCGTTTTTATTAAGCAGACAGTTGTATGCCAGTGTTAGTTATATTGTGATGCATCAGCGCTCCATCTGTTATCAAAATTCTAAACTATTATAGACGCGTATGATTCTTTTGAAAATTAAACAATTTTTACTGTCCTTACTGCAATGAAAAAAATTAATGGGTGGGCCTGGCTCATCAACAGTGTTAGTTATGTAAATAGATACTTTGCATTTTTCTCTTTTGTTTTTATGTTGTTGTTGTTGTCGTGTCCAATGAAGAGCCTCAGATGCCTCCATGCATCTCCATCACAGCTGCAGCATTGTCCACTATATTGGGTGTGTAAAGCTGCTGTTCTGGGTCTATGTTAATTTTCTGCAAAGCTCCGGCCATTGCTGGGTATGTGTCCTTTTGCCTTTATAAAGGGGATGCTGTCTGTGACGTCAGTAGAGTATGATTCGTGACTTGAAGAGAGCGTACAGCTTGCTGATGAAATAAACGTACTTTTTGCCAGTCACTTAAAACTCATGGTCAAAGTTTATTTCTGGATGGTTCTGTTTTTGAAGCATTTCAAGGCGAGTTTCTCAGTGGTAAACCTATAGGGGTATATCTCCGCGATATAGACATATATTAAAGTTTAATTATTCATGAAATCATCCGTCGCATGTGTTTACTAGTTTATATTATTTATTAGTTAGTTCAAGTTAAACTTTAATAAAGTTTAGAATTAGGTCTATCACACATATTCTATTAATATAATAATAATGAAATACATCTGTTGATTTAATCTCCTGGATATTAATCAAACAAATACTGCAGGTTTTTGGAGATATGTTTCCTTATCTTTATTGATGGTAATCTCGATCTTTTGGGCATCTCTGACCTTCTACAGAAGTACATAGCAACATATGCTTCTATAGTACAATATAATGCGGCTTATGATTGTAGAATGACATTTGAAAATTACCCCGCATGTGTTTCTTTTGAACGAAAAATCGATATTAATTTTAAGGAAAAATAAGGATTATTTCTAACCTTAAGAATGAAGTATGAAAGGATGAATTGTGAAGAGTAATGATAAATGGAAAAATAAAGTGTCCAGGGATGGGAATCGAACCCATAGTGTTCCGCTTATGCTTCTACTAGCCGAATGACCCGGGCAACGCCCGGGTTTTACCCGATTAGATGCTTTTATTCGAATACTATTCGTTACAATTATAAATTGGCGCCGTGGATGTTATTCTTGTATAATATATAAATGAGTTTTAAAAATTGTAAAAAAAAAAAAATGCATCGCCGGGAATCGAACTTGGGCCGCCCGCGTGGCAGGCGAGCATTCTCGCCACTAAACAACCGATGCTTATAAGAAATGGCCATATTTGAGTATTTATTTCATTCCCAAAAGCAAACGGGGACAGATTTAAGAATTGATTGATGACTCTGATACTTGTATATTTTAATGTTTAATTTGTTTGAAAAAATAGATCTATTGAATTTTTGATTTAAGTTATAATATCGTGATTTTACCTGTCAAAGGGCTGTTACGCCCAAAAGCTTATATAGTCGTGTAGTATAAAGAAAATTTTCCCTTAACTATTTGTCTTTTTATGATGCATTAGCCCGCCATCTGTTATGAAAATTCGAAACTATTATAGACGCGTATGATTCTTTTTAAAAATTAAACAATTTCTACTGCCCTAACTGCAATACTTATTGCCCTCCCATTAATTTTTCCATTCCAGTAATGACAGTAGACTTTGTTTAATTTTTAAAAAGAATTATACGCGTCTATAATAGTTTCGAATTTGTCTTTTATTTATAATTTCAGTGAAGGAATTATAATATTAATATGTGTTTTTTATGCAATATAATGCGGCCTATGATTATAGAACGACATTTGAAAATATCCCGCATGTGTTTCTTTTGAACGAAAAATCGAAAATTATTTTAAGGAGAAATAACAAGTATTTCTAACCTTTGGGATGAAGTATGAAAGGATGAATTGTGAAGAGTAATGATAAACGGAAAAAAAATGTTTCGTTCAAAAGAAACACATGCGGGGTATTTTCAAATGTCGTTCTACATTAATATGTGTTTAATTAAAAAGGCATATATTGGATCAAAACCTAATTAATTTTTACCAATATTTCAGCTGGCTGAACGCCAACCTTTATCATGGTGTTATAACATTTTAAAGTCTGTCAACAACAAACTCATCGCCACATAACGTCAACAGCATTAAGTATGTGTATATAAACAATAATAAACAAGAGAATGATATTACTATACATCGAAATTTACCCTTTATCTAGGTTACTCAAATATTTTTATATTTATATAAAAATTATTTAAATGAGATCACTACATATAAATAATTAAATATTTTTTAAAACATAAATATTTGATTCGAGTCATTTATTGCTTACATATTTGAAATATTTTCAATAACAGGTTTAATATGAAATTTTATTATAAAAAGACTCTAATTGAAAATTCTTTAAAAATGAAATTGTAGCTTATATGCTCACTGAATATATTAATATTGGAAATAATAAAATTGAAAAAATAATTTGTATATTTTCGAACATAAATATTTGATGCGTGTTATATATCTGTTGTATCTATATATTTATTTGTGAATTTATTTATTATTTTTATATATTTAAGAGTATTTTACTGTTCTTCGTATATATATGTTATATATTTGCGTTATATATAGTATTTGGCCAATACTGGAATAACTAAAAATCAGCGAGAATAGTTGATATTTATTCCGATAGATGGCGCAAGCCATCAGCAACTTTCAGTTGCACGATAAGGAGATGCCTTTTTCTTAATTTATGCACCTTATCCCAGTACAATATAACATTTGTACTATTTTTCATATATGTTATATGAAAATTGTATTTCATTTCAAAATTATAACTTTTTAAAGAACAAACTACTCTATAAAGTGAACCGCCAGAGGTCGCGACCTTCCCTATATAACCTCATTGTTGTTGTTTCCCGTTGCGTTATCACGTTCGCTTTACACGCGAAAGGTCCCCGGTTCGGTCCCGGGCGGAACCATCCTTTTTTGGGGCTCAAAATCATTTATTTTGGTTAGCAGCCCCGTTGGCCGGCTCAAATCTTTTTGTAGATATGTAAATAAATATTCTATTTTCTTTATTATACTCGCCTTAATTGAGGTGCTACTTTTATCAAATTATGTATTTTATATTCTTCATTAGCACGATTAAAGTAAATTGTTATTCAACCTTTATTTTATTGTTATCTTTCCCACGACTACAAAACAATATCATTTAAATACTCATGTATACCAAAATCAAGCAGCAGCTAATAATTATTTATCTCTAAATATTCCAGATAAATCAACAGAAAATAATTTTTGTAATATATATTTGATATGAAAAGAATGTAGTTTGACTGCAAGAACTTAGGAGCCGATAACTAGTCTGTTTGAATAATCCAAAATAAAAAATAACAAATTTTGAAAATAAATCAAACGAGAGAGATCATGATGATATCTATTCTATAAATACCACGGAGTAAATATAAAATAAATATGGTAGCAACGATTCATATTCATAGTGAAGAATGAACTAGTTGTTTGTGAACTTAACGATTTGATTTCCGATAAAAAATCATATTTAAAGTTCAATTCATTTTGTAAATACATTCTAAACTTTCTACAAAATCTGGATCTCTAGTATTTTCATGCGTTGAATAATGTAAATAACTTATGTAAATAAACTTTTCTCCTTGTTTGGCGCAAGTATCCCTTGCGGGATATAGCGCTTTGGAAATAAAATAATTGATAATTGATAACGATTCATATAAAATTCTTTCAAATACTACTTCACAGGGGAGATATTTCTATCTTTTATCGAAATAAAAGAGAGATAATGGAATTGCAGGTTCAACAAAGGATATAACCTAATCCTGCTTTGTTGGCTGAATGTTCTAATCCATGATGGAGGTTGTTAATCTCTTCTATTGCTGATCGAAACAAGTTACTGCCAGGGAAGATGCCGTGAAAACATTGGAATCCGTTTACCTTCAATCCCCTACGTAATATCTATAAAATAAGCCATATACGATTATTTGGAAAGGAGATTTATCTATTTACAAAGATTTGAGGATTATAATATTAGAACTCTTTTGATCTTAAACTGCATCTTTATAAAATATTTAATGTGTTTCCAGTTTTTACCTCTCCACAAATAGGATTACTACATCCCGAAGTCTTCTGTGATATTCTTACAGACATCAAGATATATTTAATAGAATATAACATGATCTTTGTATATGAATGGCGACAAATTTGTTATAGTATCTTATAGCAGTAAAGATATACAGTATAAAATGGTTTCATTTGGCTATAAAATAAAGATTACAGCTTTATAGCGCGCGCTTCATTTCTTTTATATACAGAGAGTGATCCATTTTTAAAAGAATGATTTTGCAAATCTGTAGCTCGCGAAACAAGTGCGCAAATCGTCTGGTGTTTTATTTACTGGAAATAACAATCATTGATTTATATTTCATGAAAAAAATGTCTAACTATTTGAAATGTATAAAATTATATGTAATTTTGTAAAAGGTAACGTTTTCAGATTTTCCGAAAACAAATACTTGTTTACCCCAAATTATTAAAATTCTGAAAAGTATCTGGCATAGGAAAATGAAATAATGTTGTTAAAATGGACGAGGCATGGGTTTACCTCAATGATAGAAACCAACCCCGTGCCATTTACTACGCTAACTCTCAAATAAACACCTTTCAGAACTGTGTCAACAATGAAAGGAATGTTTCTAAAAGGGCTTCATGATCGTTGCAGGTTTCTGCTACAATGGAAAGCTTTCAATAAATAAGATGGACTCAAATGTCAAGATATAAATTCCCAAATCTACCAATCTACATTTCGATAAAAAGGTCTCATTTTCATAAATGCTTTTTAATCATATCCCTGTCAAATCCCTAGACTAGGCCCTATGGATTTTTGAGTTTTTGGATTTCTGAAAACCGCTATTAGATCAAGGAAACCGAAGACACTAGAGGGTCTCTGGAAAGTTGTCAAGGACTGTTGGGATGGTCTTGATCAAATATTCTAAGACGAAGACGTATTTCCTGGAAACATCGGTGCACGGCTGTTGCTAAACGTCAAGACTTATACATAGAAAACAAAATTTGTAAATTACTTTTAATAAAGCATTAAAATTGTACTTTTTAAAATTGAATACCCCCTGTAGATGGGTGTAATAGTACAATGTTTAATCTCTTATTGGTTTTAATTATTATGAGACGTTAAAATATAGAAACATAATTTTCAAATGTACACTATTTACTTCAAAATCCTATTTTTATTGATTTCGTATTTACAATTTTTTTTTCACTTTATTTTTAATTCGTCGAAAGTGAATGTTGCACATACTGATTTAGGAAACTTGGTAAAAATCAATATATTCGAGATGAAAAACAGCAACACCACACACACTGTATTTAAAGGAATGCATTAATAAACAGGTATTAAGCTGAAAATGTCTGATTTCTCAGTGCACATTTCGCGTTTAAAAACTTAAAAAAAAAAGTTCACACTATAAATAAAAGTTACGTAAAAAAAAAAAGATCACAATATAAAAATAAATAATATGATATTTATATGATTATTATCATTATATTATATTATTTATATATTTTTAATATAATTTTATTATCTATTCATTTATTCTCAAGATCATATTCTTTGACGAGTGTAATATTTGTTTTTGACTCGTGCTTTAGATGCTGTACTAAATTCGAAAAATCGAGTAAAAACGCCCTTGCAACTACAGAACAATTTTTAACGCCTTGCTAAATGCTTTATTTATTTCTCCTGACGAAGACAAAATATTTTGTTGAAACGTTGAGAAAATAAAACTTTAATTATCCGAAGTTTCTATTTTTTACAAAAATATAAAAGGAATCACTTGAAATAAGAATAAAACATATTGAAATGATCTGTTTCACTTTAAAAAAAAAGTAAACTAGGAGAGCCTGAATGTAATTGAGATAATCAGAATCAAAATGCTTCATTTAATTTCCTCGAAATGAAAATAGCTATTTTTAAAAATCCATTAAATGGATGGCTGTGGTTAAACTGGAAATCACCATTGAGCGGAAACTCAAATAGGAATAAAATCCACGCCGTATAAAATTGTGATTAGGGAGGTTTAATGGGAAATATGTAAATATTATCAGCAATTCTGAGATTTTATATATTTCTGATAAATTGTTGAATGTACCAATAACGTTGAGTAGGTACTAGCTTAATTAACAATCGTTTTTAATTGTGGTGGTGGTGCTTATCTCCATGGTTAAACCAATTCCTGAAGTCCACTCCTCTCCAATTTTGCGATGGTAGTTATAGGCCTGGAAAATAGGTCCTCTATTGTCAGTTCTGAGCATGATATGTTCCGGAGAACCTCCCGCACTATTGCATTTAAAGCAGTTATTGAAAGTTTTCTGTCCATTTCAAAATTATAAGGTTTTTATATGGCCACTTTTTAGTCTTGCTAAAACTGTTTGTTGATTTCTATTGAGTTTTTCAAGTTCTTCTAATTGTTTCAATGGTTTGTACCAGTGATGATTTGGATAAGCTGTCGTATACGTATATAATTCTTCAAAGATAAGATCGTAATTTACATTTATCACAAATTGTAAAATAAATCCTTATTCATCAAAGCGTGAAATCATAAGTGGAAATTTTTCTTAAGAACATTTTTTCTTATTATTTTTTCGAGATTTCGAGCCTTTCTACAGGAGAAAATGTATCTATATTTTGCCTTAGAATATCTTAATATCTTATCTTTTTGCCGAAAGCTTGGCAAAACAATAAAAAACTTCGAAAGAAACCTTTCACATTATTATTTCGAGTTTTTATGAATTTTCTTCACACACAAGCGATTACATAATTTAAATAAATAATTATAATAAAGAAATATACAAGTACTAATTATAAATTACTTGTATAAACTTGAATAAATACTTGTATATAATTGTTAAGACTGAAAAAAAAACGGCTTAACCTGGTTTTTACCCCAGTAAATATTTGCCTAACGAACATTGGCTTAATAAGGATAGCTTATCAGTGGGATAGGTGCCTTGTACATATTCAATTTATTATAAAAGCATAAAACGCCTTTCCCATCAGAATAAACGTCAAAACTAGACGCATCTATTGACTGACGCCGCAAACTAGCGGCCTCAGGTCGGTGACAAAGCCACAACACCAGCTTTGGCAAACTAAGAAGCCTCCACCTAGAGACCATGTTTTCAGGCTAATGTCCCTCGTCAGTCTAAGGTGTATTCTATTCCATGAGATCCACAAGGGATCAAATGGAATCCTCACAATCTGCCAAAGAGGTGTTTAGCTGGCAAAGTGGCTGGGTCAATTCTATAGCCAATCTATTTTGACGGGAGAGGCGACCTTTATCGTTCTAAATTATATATATATATATATAGTATGTAATATATTATGAATATATATAATAATATGATTATTAATCTTTCAAATTGAATATAAAAGCATAATTCCTTCTTCTTTTTGAAATATTTTAATCAATTTTTGTGTGTGTTTGAAATTAAACACGTGATTGAAATATTTTTCAAACTTTATTTTAAGACAAACGACTGCAACATATTTTCTTCTATGTATCTTATTATATTTTCAATCAAACTAATAATTTATAACATATAATTATAGCTATCTTATCATTAAACCGTTATATTTATATAAATACGTTATATTATAATGCATTAGCGAGCAAATCTGTTATGAAAATTCGAAACTATTATAGACGTTTATGATTCTTTTGAAAACCAAACAAATTCTACTACCCTTACTGCGATGTAATTTTTAATGGGAGGGATTTTTACATTGCAGTAAGGGCAGTAGAAATTGTTTAATTTTCAAAAGAATCATACGCGTCTATAATAGTTTCAAATTAAATAAATACCTATTGTAAATACGATATCAAAATTATTTATTCAAAAATATCAGTAAATATCCAAATTTGATAGAAAAACT